CATCCTTTACACTCACTGTGTAACATGCTGTAATATGCACATCACATATGATTCTCTCTCTCTCACACACACAAACATGTAAATGCACATCCTCTGTCCTGTCTTTCGCAGCCTTGGGCAAATACATAAAAGCCTACTACACACTCAGTCTGCATGCACTTACAGACATGCCCACCACTGATCAGTCACCACTGATCTCTGTTTCTGGAAACATTCAATAAGGGTGGCTCATGTTCTGTCTTCCTCTTGCTGATATGTGTTCACGTCTTTGGCACTTCTTTTTTCCAGTGTTGTCAAATTCGCTACTCTTGCCCAGTTAGTATTAGGATATTCTAATCAGTCAATCTCCATTTCAGGCCGGCTGTTTTTTAACGCTCCTTCTCCCCATCTTCACCTCATCCACACAGGGGACCTCATCCAATCTCATCATCAACTGTCTCAACTACTCTGCTTCACCATCATCGGAGTCTGGACTATCTCAGGTCTATATCCTACCTTCATTTGGAATTATGCTCTTCTAAATTCAACTTGTATTTTGGATGTTCACATTTTAGGCACTCTCCTTATTGAAATAAAGTGTTGAGTGTGATACTACTGACAATAAATAGTCACAGTCAATCACTTTGAAAACGTTCTGCAACTTAAGTTTATGTTAGAGGCAGTCGCTCCTAAAAAGAGCCACTGAGGTATTTTTAAAGTTAAGTTACTTTAACTTCAAATAATGTTGGATATGGATTTTTCAAATTATATTTTTGGCATGTTAGTTATTTCAAACTTACAGATTAACACAAATATACACATTTGAATAATCCGTTATTTAAAAAGAAAAATGTCAAAGCCAACTAGAATTTATATCTAAAGTAAGACGTTATTGGACTTTTACTACTAGATTTACTATTTACATTAGATGTGCAACATCAAAAGAGCTTATTGGCTGCCTTGAAATGTAAGCAAAACTACAACACTAAAGGAAAAAAAAACATGTATCACATGAAATAATTAAAATAGTCTTTAACAAACTTTAACATCAAATATTACTAATGCTGCAGCCATCACTGCTGCGTGAATGCGTTTGGAGGAGAAAATGTAAATGAGGCGAGTCTGATTTAAATGACGAGAGTCTGTTTTATCTTGAAGTCTTGTGTCTATGTTTCAGGCTCAGTGTGCGATTAGATAAGTCGAGCATTTCCCCACAGCTGAAACAATGGTGTAGTCTTGTTTTTGATCAAAATGGTCCAACTATTTTCTTTCTTCCTTCCTGTCAATCCTCATAACTGCAGCGCAGTGAATTCCCATTGCATAATCTAACTTACCCTTTATGTTGTTTCTCACCCTATTACATGCTTTCCTAAGCCCCAAGTTTGAGAACAAAAACCACTGGTGCCTAACTCCCATCTTCCCCAAGTTAATGTTTCTCTCTCTCTTCCTGTATGCCCAACATCGTTCCCTCCCTCTGTCTTCTTCTCCTTCAATCTCTCAAGGTACAGTATAGCTTATTCCCTAAACAAATGCAGATGCCATGCTTTCTTCACTCACTTAAGAGTCTCCAAATCCCCTTCATTTGTTAAAAATGTTCCCCTTCATTATTGCCTTTCGCTCCTCTTTCTTCTCTTTGTTTATTGGTTATGCAAGTCTGCACTCAACATTTCTCATCATCTCACTCCCTACACTGTTTTTAATATTCATTTTAAGAAAGAAACCCAGTGGGGGTGACAATCGCTTTACACGCAGAACGCTTAGAGGGAAACGCACAAACTTTCTGAGACGCTGCCTTAGACAAAACAATAATGGGAGACACTGTATCTATATTTTGCCCTTGCCTTCTCTGCACTTTTCCTCTATTATTCTTATATTTATTCTCCCCATGCATGTTGATCACCTAAAGACCAACCTTAACTTTTCCTCATTTCCCTCATCTTTCTGCATTTCCCTCCTTTTCTCTTTGTGTCTATTTTCTTCCCTTCCTCCTGTTTCTCCAGCTTTATTTTGCACTGCTCCCTTTAGCTTTCTCATCAGTAATTCCTTCTTCCCTCCTTCCTTCCACCCCTCATCTATCTTGTCTCCTTGTCTTCCTCCCACCTCTCTGTACTGCTATCCATTGACAGATATTGAGTTTTCCCTTCATGTTGCTGTCACCACCTCTTGCTTATCATGCTCACTCTTTTGCAGCTATAATAGCAGCATGTCACTGGCTACCATGTATGCACACACACATTATACAGTGACATACAAACATTAATAAATAAGATATGCTAATTGATTATATAAAAAACATAGCCTTTCGTTTCGTGTGTACACACATGTACACACACACACACACACACACACACA